GGGGGGGGGGGAGGGGGGGTATGGATAAGCCTTGGTAACGTACTTGCCTAATCTCGCGAGTCACACGCCATTCTACATTAATGACTTCGATACACGTAAGGAGTAAGTAGGCCTGCCGATAAGTTCATGAGGGGGGTTGTTCGAGTGGGGGCCAGAAAAAAAGATAGGTTCGGTAGGGGCGGCAGTCAGCTTTAGGAAGTTGAGGGTAATACAATTTATATGTGAAATCACCTCCAACTTATAACTGCGTGACGACACCAAAGTGGCCACCAAGCATGCCATTGAAAAAGCCGTGCAAGCATGGCACAAACGATGTAGATGATGTTGTTTTTTTTTAAAAATAGTTTCAAATCTGTTATCTACTCTTAGGTACTCTCAAAACGGGGTTGCGGGTCCTGATTTGACCCGTGGATCGTAGTTTTACCGTCTCAAAGTGCAGTGTAAGCTGCTGCACGGCGGTACAGCTTTTCTGCAAACGACATTCGGGGCCATTTTGTTACATACTGTTATAAGTTCAGTAAATTTAACCGTTTGTCTCACTAGATGAACAGTATGAAACAAAGGATTAAAAACCAGTATACAAAGAATAACGATAACAATACTATGGATATTAACAATAATCAATTTAATTATACTAAAGTATTTATAAAAATACAAAATCAAATATACAGAAATAAATAAAGTGAAAAGTATAACACTAGAAAGGTGCATATACTTATCCAAACACACATAGTGCAAACAATCTTCCAAATCTTATTGAGCTCCTGTAAGTCTCATCAGTATGACGGTCACAGTCGACCGTCGTATTTATAGTAATGGCGTCAGAAGCCCCCCCCCCCCAGAACAGAAAGTCTAGAAATTCAATCCCCAGAGAGTAGTTTCTCCCTCTATATTGACCCTTCTGGAAACGTTAACAAACTTTTCCAATCAAGGGCGGTGGGGGGGGGGGGGATTGGCAGCACTTGTCACCAAGTTAATTGGTGACGTGGGGAACAAAAATAGAACAGAAAGTCTAGAAATTCAATCCCCAGAGAGTAGTTTCTCCCTCTATATTGACCCTTCTGGAAACGTTAACAAACTTTTCCAATCAAGGGCGGTGGGGGGGGGGGGAGATTGGCAGCACTTGTCACCAAGTTAATTGGTGACGTCGGTAACAAAAACAAAGGGGGAGACAATCAAGGCTCACCACGCCTTCACACCATACAGGGGGAAAAATTAGGTCAACACAAAGGCTATAACAGCATAATTCTATGAGAACTAATTATCCTATTTCATTCTTTTACTCCCTTGTACTTGTAGCTTACTTGAACGAAAGATGTTATGAATGGTCAATATAAGACAATTGAAAACCATAAAGTTAGATTATTATAGTACTAAACCCACATAGCCAAACACTATTTTTCACACAAACATCTTATAGAATGTGTCTGTACAAACGCCAACTATTATAACTACAAGTCCGAGAAGAGGAACAGCTAAAACCGTTTGACTGACTATCAACACAGACATTGTCAGATTATACTCTTTATTATAAATACACCGGGCAGAATATAATCCCAGTCTTGGGCATATTCGGGGCCTTTGCGGGCGCTCATGGGCACCCGAGCCAGCAAAGAAGCCCTCCCCCAACAAACAAACAAAAAATGTAGACGATGTCATACGGAAACCGGTTAACATGGGGGGGGGGGGCAGACAGTTCCCACATTTACATGTAGACCAGGGGGATGCCCATCCATTGGGCTGTGGTCCGGTGAAAAAAAAAAAAGTTGGGAACCGCCGTTGCAGATTACCCAGCAATAAGTACAGTGGATTTTGATTGACGCGGACAACACCCTCCCGTCTTTATTAAGACGATTCTCTAAGTTTCAGTGGGGGGGGTTTTCCTCCGCACCTTAAGTTCTGAAAACCAGGGCATCTAGTGTACACAACGTTTTGTTAAATTCAATGAGAGAGAACACCCTTGAATGTTGTAAACTGAAAACCAGGGCATCCAGTGCTCACAACGTTTTGTTAAGTTCAATGAGAGAGAACACACTTGAATGTCGTAAACTGAAAAAAACTCATTATTGTTGCTAAATGAATTGATCGAATGCCGCCACGAACCAATCAGTGCTCGCTAGCCAGGCCTCAAGTCATAAATGCATGGACGTGTTAGATGCAAGAAACTAAAAAAACCGGTTCCTATCTTTAACTATTCAACAGAGGTTCAACCTCCCTTCTCAATGCAACAGGAACAAGACCAATCTCACGTTTGCTACAAAAATTGGTCTTTGTTTGTTTGTTTGTTTGTTTGTTTGCTTGTTTGGTTGTTTGTTTTAACAGTGTCACTTGCTTGAAGTTCATTTTAACATTTCCTTTATTACGTCTGGTAATTCAAAATTAAATATGGCGTAGTCCGGATAATACATGACGTACAGTTTCTTCAAAAGCGTCCTCGGAACCTGCTGGTAAAACTGTTTCAAGTAAAGATCCGTCCTATGAAAACTGTGTACGGACGATTCCTTGGGTACGTGAATCGCGTCACTTAAGCCATTGACCTTTAAAATATGGGCGACGTCCTCCCCAAAGCTGGTCAACTTACCGACAAAGTCGTAGTTCATCTGGCACGGGTAGCACAGCTCGTGGAAGGGCTGCCAGTGACCATTCATCGGCACTTTTCTCTCGGCGTCCACAAGATACTCGACGAATTCCGAAAACGAGACCACCCCGGTCTGGGTTGCGTTGGTGCGGTACTTAGAGATCAGCTTCTTGTTGAGATAGGCAAAGTATCTTGTCGCCGGCTTGAGGAATTTGTTTCTGTAGGCGGACAGTAATCGCTCCAGCGGGTCTCGGACGAAGACAAACTTGTAGTAATTTTGGATTTTGTGCAGCATTTCCGGTCGCGTGTAGTTATCCAGGTGGCGCTGCAGCTTGTTCAGACGGAAATGGACGTCCTCTGATGGAATGTCATCAGGATCGGAACTGTTGGTCTTGCCAGCGATCACGGCGAATATCTTCCCGAGGTTTGTGGAGGCGACCTTTGCTATCTGGCAGTATAGGATCTGAAAACAAAGATCATTATCAGAATTTAGCTGTCTTGCAGTAGAGGATCTGAATACACAGATCATTGTCAGACTTCAGCTGTCTTGCAGTAGAGGATCTGAATTCAAAGATCATTGTCAGACTTCAGCTGTCTTGCAGTGGAGGATCTGAATACACATATCGTTGTCAGATCTAGCTATCTGGTAGTAAAGAATCTAAATATAAAGATCATTGTCAGACTTTAGCTATCTGGCATTAGAGGATCTGAAAACAAAGATCATTGTCAGAGTTTAAAAAAAAATGGTTTGTTTCTTTGTATTAAATTATTTAAATAAAATTAACAAATATTCCATAGCATTCATAGTGCTACGTGATTTTGAGCTCCATCCCTGAAGTCGTAAACTTTCCTAAATTATTTTTAAAAAGCAAAACATAAAATGAAATTTAAAACAAATATTTTACCAGTTCCTATAATAAAGTTGATTAATAAAAAATCTAAAGGGCATTTAGTGGTAAAAAAAATTCCAGAGTTCTTCTCAGAGGTGTCACCATAGATAGGTTGATGTCACCCCACGTGTGGTAAACTCATGGTGTTACCCCCTCTCCCCAGCCAGTTTGAAAAATCCCTCCCCCCTCCCCAACGACAAATCAAAAACAAATAAAACAAAAAAATAGACAGCAATAATTATAAATTAAATCATGAAGCCAAAAAAAAAAACAAAAAAAAAAAAAAAAAAAAAAAAAAAAAAAAAACAAAA